TTAAAAAATATTAGTAAAAAATAACTAAAATCACGGAAAAAAATATTTACCTGGATATGTTTGATATGTTTCATTAAAACAGCGAAAATTTTCCCTATTCTAAAAAAACATATCGCTGTTCCAAACAAAAAGATTTTTTTTCATGTAGAAAAATAAAAATGAAAAGTAAATAAAAAACAGCTAATAGCGAATAATTACATAAGGAATTTTTTTTACAATTTTAAAATTCATTTCCCCTGATATTTCTTCTACTCTCGTTTAAAAAAAAGTGAGGAAGAGTTTCTCTTAAAATTTTCACTCTGAAAATGGTCACTTTATGAGACTCGTAAAAACTGAGACGCACGACTTGGAATTCTTATTATATATATTGTGAAAAAAAAAATTATTTCACGTACAAGAGACATTTTTTTTTTTTTTTTTTAAAGGGGTGGGAATTTGAAGTCTACTCGCAAGAAGTCACGCCAGTGGATTTATTACATAAAACTCGTAAGATCAATATCGAAAAAAGGGGTTTCATGGAAATCCCTTGGAAAAATCTCTCGCAATAAATCTTTGATTTCAAAAGGCAGTGAAACAGTTTTATGAAGAACAATAAAAGTTGAGAAAAAATATATAGAGAAATACAGAATATGGAAGTGAAAAAAAAAAATTTATAAGATACTGTAAAACAATTCATGTTAAAAAGAAAAACTATAGAGAAATAAATTCTCAAAGGTGTGAATTTTAATTAAGTCTTCTGGAAGAGAGGATGTATATATATATATATATATATATATATATATATAAACAAGAATAACCTACTATTTTTTTTCATTTTGCTTGAGTAAATTAAATCGGATTTCAGTTCAATGCCCAAAGAAGAGTACCAGAAAATTGTCAAAGGGTTATAATATGAAGGTTGGAGAGGGGGTGAATGGGGGGTGGAGGATGAACAAAGGTATGTCGACCTCATGTTAGCTATCTCTCTAACCACAGCAGCAACCCCTAATGTTTTGAGCGTTAAACAGTAGAAACTGTTATATTCCGGTTAAAGATAAACACGTCACGTGACTTTATTCATGATCTTTATTTTGTACATTGTAAATTGCGCACGAACAATTTTTCTCACGCAGCCACCTTTGACCATGGAAAGAGGGTCAACAAGCGTGCTTTTTAAAAGTTCACAAGAGCGTGTGAGTGAATTTTAATGACAAACAAACATTCAGAATTATTTGTAGTAATCATTACTATTTTATTACTATATTCCCTATTAATCACTAGTTTATTACTGTACTCTCTAGTGATTATAATTACTAATACTAATAATCGTTCGGGAATATTACCAATAAATTGAGCAAAAAGTCTCGAACAAAAAATGTATGGCGCAATTTTTGATTGGTCCAGCTGATGCTGAGCTACACTCACTAAAACTGGGAAAAAATTTTCGAAAAAAAAAATTTGCCAGATAATGACTCGGGAATGATGTCAAAAAATTGAGCAAAAAGTCTCGAACAAAAAATGTATGGCGGACTTTTTGATTGGTCCAGCGGATGCTGAGCTACACTCACTAAAACTGGGAAATTTGACAGATAATGACTCGGGAATAATGCCAATAAAATAGGGAAAAAGTTTCGAACAAAAAATGTATGGCGCACTTTTAGATTGGTACAGCGGATGCTGTGCTACACTCAAAAATAATTTGGAAAAATTTTCAAAAAATTAAATTCGCTACATAATTGTTCGGGAATAGCGCCATAGTGATTAGAAGAAAGTTCTGAACAAAAAATGTACTGCGCACTTTTTGATTGGTCCAGCGGATGCTGAGCTGCAGTCAAAAATAATTTTGAAAAATTTTCAAAAAATTAAATTCCCTAGATAATGACTCGGGAATAATGCCAAAGTCTTTAGCAAAAAGTAGCGAACAAAAAATGTATGGCGCACTTTATGATTGGTCCAGCGGATGCTGAGCTACACTAGAAAACAAATTTGGAAAAAATTTAGAAAAATTAAATTTGCGAGATAGTCGTTCCGGAATACCGCCAATAAAATAGGGAAAAAGTTTCGAACAAAAAATGTATGGCGCACTTTTTGATTGGTCCAGCGGATGCTGAGCTACACTCACTAAAACTGGGAAAAAATTTTCGAAAAAAAAAATTTGACAGATAATGACTCGGGAATAATGCCAAAAAATTGAGCAAAAAGTCTCAAACAAAAAATGTATGGCGCACTTTTTGATTGGTCCAGCGGATGCTGAGCTACACTCACTAAAACTGGGAAAAAATTTTCGAAAAAAAAAATTTGACAGATAATGACTCGGGAATAATGCCAATAAAATAAGGAAAAAGTTTCGAACAAAAAATGTATGTCGCACTTTTAGATTGGTCCAGCGGATGCTGAGCTACACTAGAAAACAAATTTGGAAAAAATTTAGAAAAATTAAATTTGCGAGATAGTCGTTCCGGAATACCGCCAATAAAATAGGGAAAAAGTTTCGAACAAAAAATGTATGGCGCACTTTTTGATTGGTCCAGCGGATGCTGAGCTACAATCAAATAAATTTCCGAAAAATTTTCGAAAAATTAAATTTTCGAGATAATCGTTCGGCAATATTGCCAATAAAATAGGGAAAAAGTTTCGAACAAAAAATGTATGGCGCACTTTTTGATTGGTCCAGCGGATGCTGAGCTACAATCAAATAAATTTCCGAAAAATTTTCGAAAAATTAAATTTTCGAGATATCTTCTCCGGAATACCATAAATAAAATAGTCAAAAAGTTCCGAACAAAAAATGTATGGCGGACTTTTTGATTGGTCCAGCGGATGCTGTGCTACACTCAAAAATAATTTGGAAAAATTTTCAAAAAATTAAATTCACTAGATAATCGTTCGGGAATAGCGCCATAGTGATTAGAAGAAAGTTCTGAACAAAAAATGTACTGCGCACTTTTTGATTGGTCCAGCGGATGCTGAGCTGCAGTCAAAAATAATTTTGAAAAATTTTCAAAAAATTAAATTCACTAGATAATGACTCGGGAATAATGCTAAAGTCTTTAGCAAAAAGTAGTGAACAAAAAATGTATGGCGCACTTTATGATTGGTCCAGCGGATGCTGAGCTACACTAGAAAACAAATTTGGAAAAAATTTAGAAAAATTAAATTTGCGAGATAGTCGTTCCGGAATACCGCCAATAAAATAGGGAAAAAGTTTCGAACAAAAAATGTATGGCGCACTTTTTGATTGTTCCAGCGGATGCTGAGCTACAATCAAATAAATTTCCGAAAAATTTTCGAAAAATTAAATTTTCGAGATAACTTCTCCGGAATACCATATATACGATAGAAAAGAATATAAAAATGTACAACCATAAAAATTAAAACGAGAAAATAAAAACGAAAATTTTCAAACAAAACGTTTTATCCAATTTTTTCGCGAACTCTCTAAATGGTGTTAAACGGTGAAATATAATTGGAAAAAAAATATATATATAACTTGCTTTATAAATGTCAATCGTTTTTTATATATCTATTAAAACGATTAGTGAAATAAAAAAAAATTTCTCTCTATGTAGATCGTTATCGATTTTTTTTTAAGAAAAAAAAAAGTGCGAGCATCCCGTGCGGTACGCAGAACCAAACCGGAAAACAAAAGTGTCAATCAATCATCGTATATATAAATTGAGATTCTTTTATCGCTCGTTTAATTCAAAACAGCCGCGTCGATGTTTATTTAGAACCCTCGGGTTCCCATCTGTCTCCTACAGGCATTGATCCGTTTTCGATTCTATTTTCCCTTTATTTCGGCAAAATGCCAAAAAAAAAAAAATCCTACCCGCCAATTTTATAAACTCAGCAGCATCCCGCTTTCATCTATCAACTGGCAGTAAAATCTTATTAATCATGGGATTCAACTTTCTCTTTTCAAACAAAAAAAAAAAAAAAAAAAAAACCAGTAATTTGCAAAAAACACATTCAATATTTTTTTCTGTTGGCATTCTTTATTTCCACATTATTCATTTAGTCTGACTATAGTCGGTTTTATCTACTTGTAAATAGTTATGTCATTTATATAAAAAATCATTTTTGTTTGGCTTTAAAGGAATTATTCTACTTAGAAAAGTTTTTTCTCAGAAAAGACGATTTTTTATTTGGGAAACCCTCTTGTCTGACTATAAACGCATTTTTCTACTGAATTATCTAATTTTCAAAGAAAATGCAATAGAAAAACATTATCTATTTGAAAATAGTTTTCCCTTAGAAAATAGGGATTAGAAACTAGGTAACAATTTTGTCTGACTACAAACAACTTTTTCTACTTCATAATAAGTTTTTAAAAATAGGGTTTTTATGCAAAAAAATATACTGTCTGATTGTATTTGACTTTACCTACTTTAAAATAGTATTTCCTTGGAAAATAACGATTCTTTAAACCAAGAAACAATTTTGTCTGACTACAAACAACTTTTTCTACTTCATAATAAGTTTTTAAAAATAGGGTTTTTATGCAAAAAAATATACTGTCTGATTGTATTTGACTTTACCTACTTTAAAATAGTATTTCCTTGGAAAATAACGATTCTTTAAACCAAGAAACAATTTTGTCTGACTACAAAAAGATTTTCTACTTAGTAATAAGTTTCCTTTGGAAAAATTGAGTTTTTACTAAAAAAAAATACTGTCTTACTGTATTTGACTTTACCTACTTTAAAATAGTATTTCTTTGAAAAATAACGTTTCTTAGAACCAAGAAATTTTTTTGACTGGATGTAAGCGACTTTTTCTACTTAATTATGTTTCCCTCAGGAAAAACGTTTTTTTAACTAGAAAAACACATTGTCTGACTGTGTTTGTCTTCATCTACTTGAAAATAATTTTTCCTTTCATTTTTTTACCAAAAAAAACTTCTTTGTCTTGCTACAAGAGACTTTTTTCACTTAATTATAAGTTCTCCGAAAATAAGATTTTTTACCAAAAAACATCTGACTATCTACTTGAAAATAGTTTTTTCTTAACGATTCTTTTAACCAAAAAAAAAATTCTTGTCTGACTATACACAATTTTTTCTACTTAACCATAAATTTTCCCAAGAAAATACAAAATACTAAAATAAAAAATCTAATCAATAAATTATCAACATTAAATAAATTATCAATATTTTTACTATATATATATATTAGTTATATCCTCAAGATAAGCGTATTGTTTTCGATTGTAGAGATGACAAACACATAATGCTGGTTCTATACATACATTTACGGGAGATTACAATAGAGGGTCATCCCACAATAATTCAACGAAGAAACATAAACACTACCAACTGGCGCTTATTCTAGATAGGTTTGTATTGTGTAAACCGTATGCAATATTTTTCATGGTTTCTATTTACCCTTATGTGTGTGTGTGTATGCAGCATACGTCACGATAGGGGTGCTATAGAATAAAAAAAAAAGAAAAAAAAAATTATACACCCTCAAATTTACGAGTTAAGTGTAATGAATTTTTCGTGAATATACTGTGTAAAATCGCTTTTTTCTTTCCGTCTCCATAAAAATGCAAACTCTACAATTTTCATCGTTCACGTATACCTAATATAAATAATGCCGTATATAAAGTGAAAAATTTTTGCATCTTTTTTTTTATTATATATAGAAATAATATTTTTATGATAAAAATTTTTTTTTTGCAAAGATTAACAATGTTCAATAAATTTAAAAATCAAAATTTGATATAATAAGTTTTCAAGACTAATTTGTATCATAAAAACATAATCTTACTTATTGATGTCTATATTATAAAAAAAAAAAATTTTTAACCAAGTTTTCACTTGAAAACAAACTGAGAAATAAGAAACCCTATGATAAACGGATTTCACTACCTATCTAGAATTTAAGGATTATACAATAGCAGCACGCGACATTTCGTGAAAACTTCAAGTTAGATCAAATGTAATAATTTACAAGTTCATGACAGGAGAATGGTTATACGATTTCGATCATATCTTTTTCTATATATATATATATATAATACTGTATAAATGATGACTAGTGGATTTACTTTTTTTTTTTTTTGAAAAAAAGAAAAATCTTCTATGTCTTGAGGTCTAAGAAGTGTAAGTAAACTTCTGGGATGCTGGATACGCGATCTGCCAATCGATCTAACTCACTCTTTATACTCGCGGTATGAGACGAAATGAGGAATACGTGAGGAGACTCAAAAACTCGCAAAGTTTCTCATCGTACGACGCCATTTTATTTTATTGACGTTTACTGACATTTTCACACTTTCCGGTGAGAAGTCTATATAATACTGCCTTTTTTAAAGTCAGCAGTATTTTTTTTTTTTTTTAAATAACTTTCTATAATTCAGAAAATAAAAATGTAAGGGAGAAAAAAAGAAAAACTTACCCTCTTGACGTCTTTTGATAGAGTAATCTTTTGACACCTGCAAAAAAATTTATATACATTTAATATAATAATAAAAAATAAATAAATACTAATACTAATTTTAATACTAATACTAATACTAATACTAATACTAATACTAATACTAATACTAATACTAATACTAATACTAATACTAATACTAATACTAATACTAATACTAATACTAATACTAATACTAATACTAATACTAATACTAATACTAATACTAATACTAATACTAATACTAATACTAATACTAATACTAATACTAATACTAATACTAATACTAATACTATTTAATAATTAGTAATTACAATTTCTAATTAGTTATTAAAAATATTAATTTATGATTTTAAAAAATTTCTAAAGTTATATAATGTCAAAATTGAAATTATTTTTTTTAAATTGAATATCTCGTTTGAAAATAAAAAAAAATAAATTCCACACAATGTAACAAATTTGCATGATAAAAAATATTGAGACCGGATGCTGTGACTAACTAATGATCAAAACAATGTCAATGAGTCACGACAAGAAACTTTCTGTGTATGTGTATCGCTGCGGCGTGTAATTAAATACGGGTATATCGTATTGCAACTAAGTCGAGTGCAACGATGGAGTAAATACGATAACTCCAATTAGAAAGCCAAGGACAAAAGCACGAGATGTGATTTTTTTCAGAATTGAGCTTTCATCGCACTTTAGGCGCGAAGATAAAATTTAAAAAAAAAAAGTCATTCTCACTTTACCATTAATTATAATCAATTTAAGGCAATTAAGAATATTAAATTAAAAATGGAATTAAAAAAAAATTAAATTTGAAAAAATTTAACAAAATAAAATAGATAAATAGAAAACTAATATATTATAATAAATAATTATATTGGATTTATTATTATAATAAATAATTTTTCTTATAAAAAATAAATTAAAATTTTTTCAAAAAGGGAAAAATGTAATTTTTTTACAGCTCAATTACAGTTTAAAATTTACTAGAACTAATGTTGCAAAGGAAACGCGAGAATAATCGAACAATTATTTATTCATAATTAAGTATAGAATTATATATTATACATTGTTCTAAAGAATCTAAGTAGACGACTGAGAGAAACACTAAATACCCGCGAGAACTTATACCGTCTTACATTAAAGTAGAAGAAGGTAATAATAATTCATCAAGTACATGAACACACAAGTTTTCGCGGCCCACCATAATTATTAAAGTTTTCCAAGTCTTGAACAGAAATGAGACATTAAGACTGCGAACTTCTAAAAAGCGAGCGTTTTATAGTTTCGAAAAAAAGGAAAAAAAATTCCTACAAAGACGTGTGCGAAATAATTCATTAATGCAAAATCTATTTCTTATAATTGTTAATTAAGAAGAATATACAAAACTTTTGTTCAATGTTTAAAAATAGAATTACAAAAAAAAAAATTTCAAATAAAATTTTCTTTTTATCTATTTTTATTTAAAAATTAAATTTAAATTTAATTATTGTTTCATAATTTACAGATTAAATTTTCAAATGGTAGACAGATTCTCTGACGTGTGTCATTTCTACGTATTATATTTTATTCTACAAAATATCGTTATTTATTTTTAGAAAAAAAAATCGATGAGCTTTCCAAGCTGTAATATACATAAGGTAATTAACTAGAGTTATAAAATTGTTAATAAATTAGAGAGTAACTGAAAATTTAATCAAGTGTACTAAAAATAAAATATTTTTTTACTAAAATTTATTGGAAAATTGTCATTTCCCACTATAAAAAAATCGTATTTTTTGACAAAGATTTATAATTAAGTGGAAAAAGTCACTTGACAAACATTTTTTCAGCTAAAAAATCAAAGGAAAAACTATTTCCAAGTAGATAAATTCAACTACAGTCGGATAATGTGTTTCTCTAGTAAAAAAATAATTCCAATGATTGAAAATAGTTTTTCCTGGAAAATAAGGATTCTTTAAACAGGAAACAATTTTGTCTGACTACAAACAACTTTTTTTACTCAGTAATAAGTTTCTTTCGGAAAAAACGATTTTTTTTACTAAAAACATACTGTCTGACTTTATTTGACTTTACCTACTTTAAAATAGTATTTCTTTGGAAAATAACGTTTTTTAGAACCAAGAAATTTTTTTGGCTGGATGTAAGCGACTTTTTCTACTTAATTATGTTTCCCTCAGGAAAAACGTTTTTTTTTTACTAGAAAAACACATTGTCTGACTGTGTTTGACTTCATCTACTTGAAAATAGTTTTTCCTTTCATTTCTTTACCAAAATATTCTTGTCTTGCTATAAGCGACTTTTTTCACTTAATTATAAGTTCTATGAAAATACGGAAAAAAAATAAAAAATCATTTTTTTACTTCGAAAACATATTGTCTGACTGTAGTTCACTTTTTCTACTTGAAAATAGTTTTTCCATAGAAATTCTTACAAGGAAACAATTTTCTTTGGCCATAAGCGACCTTTTTTACTTAATTATGTTTTTCCTAGAAAAGTTGTTTAAAAAAATACTTTTAATAATAATAATAATAATAATAATAATAAAAATAATTTATCACTGGAAAGATACACATCACTGCATTTTCAACGTGTTATAAATGCTTCTCATCGATGCAAACTCACAAGATAAATAACAAATTGGCGTTTAGTACTGTGGATAATTATAATAGCTTTGCGAATGATATATTTTGTACATAAATCATATGTTTCATTTGTCTAGTAGAAATTATTCCACAGGTCTGTTTTAGCACACTGGCCTTACTACTATAACGTAGATTATATCGATCGTTTCAAAATAACCCCTCGGGTCGTTCAACATGCAATTTTTTTTTTACTCTCTCCCTCTCTCTCTAGTTTGAACAACAGAGACCACGACAAGTTGCGATTAAGACCAAAAACAATCCCGTTACGATAAAAATACAAAGGTAAAATTCTTGAAAAATTAATTACTTTCCTTTAATATGTACTTCCTGATTTTTATAACACAATTCATGATCACGATTTATTTATTATTTTTTTTTGTTAATTCGTATTAATTTTTTTTTTACAGCTGAGAAACAGAAATATTAAATTATCTTTTTTCTTTTTCATTTTTTTTTCAGAGCCAATAAAAAAGGCTTTCAAGTGATTATATATGATGGAAAAAATTTTCTCCCTTTGCGAGACTTTTTTTTCTCCTTATTGAGATACTATAATAAAAAAAAAGTGTATTGCTCTTTTATAGAAAATGTCTGACCATCTTGTCATAATAATGAAACTTGCTCATTTTTCCCTTTCTTATTACGACTTTTGTTTAAAGACAATTGCTATATAGCGCAGCACAAAAAAGAAAGCATATTGTCGAAAAATTCATTTGCCTTCTGGTAAAGTGCCAAATAAAATGTACTTTGCGGTGTATAACGAAAGTACCTTCACAAGTGCTGTTTCGCGCGCGAAAATGTTTCTAATTAAGAAAATAATTTATAGCCTCTCGCTGTTTTACTCCCCAACACGCGCGGGGTATTTTAGTAAATATATATTATGCATATATATACATGTGGTGAGGTCAGATAAAGAAAGAAGTCACATAATTACATAGGGGCATACACATCAAAATTACAGTCAAGATTGTCGTAACATAAAGTATTTTCTGTAATTGCACGGTTCTTGTATAAATTCAACATGAATATTTTGTAAAATATATTTTCCTCAAATTGCTACTCTCGATGTAAAACAACTCTATTTTTGTAAGGGAATTTTTTTTTTAGTAATTTATGAGTTTTAATATGATTTATTTTTGGTAAAAATCGTATTTTATTGGGAAAATTTATGTTTTAAATTTTTATTTTAGAAAATATGTCAAAAAATGTTTTGTTTCTATTTTCAAATATAGATAAAGTGTAAACTACAAAATATTAAAAATTAATTAAAAATATTGTTTTGAGAAAAATAAAAATTTTATAGAGAAAAGCAATTTTCTTTTATAATTCATTCATATAAATTCCTGAAATACGATCAGATTATAAATTGATCTCGCTCTATATGCGTGTATACTCAAAAAAGTTTATATAGAGAGCGAGAGAGGTTTCATTTCTTGCGTGTTGTATAAATTTTAAGTTTTCTCGTAAGTTTCGCAAAAAAAAAAAAAAAAACTTTTCTAATTTCAAAGTATCTTGCGTCGAATTTAACATCGTAATTTAATTTGCATTCCTCTTCCGTCACTCAACTAACACCTTTTTTTTTGGCTTAATGCCACCTTCATTATTTCTAAATTGATTCCACCAAACTGATAATAATTCAGTTTCGCAGCTGCAAAATTTGCATTCAAAATTTTTATTTTTCACTTCCCTATGACGAAAGATTAATTTACGACGATCTAAATTTATTAACACATTATTTTTAATCTTAGTATTTTTTTTTTTTTTGTATTCTTACAGTAAACAAAAATTTATTTGATTCAAATAATCGGTTACTTGACTATTATTTTCGAAATTATTTTTTTTTTTTGTATTCTTAGAAAATTTTTTATTTGGAACTGCTATACGTTTTATTAGTATAGCGAAAACTTTCGCTATTTCAGTAAAATATATCGTTGTTCCAAATAAATATTTTTTTCCATATAGTATTTTTTTCCTACTATTAATTTTCGTATTATTATTATTATTATTATTGTTTTTTTAATTAATTAATATTAGTACGTTTTTAATAGAACTACAATTAATTTTATGTATTTTTTATAACTATATTTATTGATTATAATTAATGAAAGATTCAATTTAAAAAAAAAGCGCGTTCATGTGTGATAAATTATTTTCTAAGATGTTTAATTAATATCTTGAGAGGAGTGCCCTACCCAGTAGGTGGGAGATTTCTCGTGTGCGATTCAAAGTATAGTTGAAGAACGACGACACCTCTAAACCAGGAACTTGGCAGTGACGCAAGAATGTAGGTCAAGGGGTTACAATTCTCACTCCTACACTCTCTATACACTCAAAGGAACTAATTTTCCAGCAAAATTCCAACCCCAGAGGGCTTTCATTTTACTCTCTCTCTCTCTCTAGGTTATTTTATATATATATGCATTCATGTGTCATATGCAAGAATCTATATATTTCAAAAGTTAAATTACATTAAAATATAACTTTCAAAATCCTACCAAAAAAAAAATACAATTTTAAATTAAATTATGCTCTTTTTTTGATATTAATTTTCGCAGAGAAATAAAATTAAACCTCACTTTAAATTAATCAGTTTTGCATTAGAAAAAAAAAATTCATTGTGCGAAATTGAGTGACACATATACAAAAGGATTGCAAATATGATTCATTCGCCTACAGCGATATCCCCTTTTAATTATCTTATCTAGATTAATTGACGGATTATTTCTCGCATTTTTTTTTTTTTTTTGAGACAAAAAAAAAATATAATTTTAACAGTAGCAAAAAAAAACAATGTTTTTATTAAAACATTTGGTTCAGTGAGCATGCAAAAAAAAAAAAGTCACACTCACACATAAAAAAAAAGAAAATGTACTCGCTCTGTAATTGAATTCGCGTATCTCGTTTCACGAACTGGGAATGAAGGTTGCTTTTTATTTTGTTTTTGTGTAATTTTTTTTTTTATTTTTGCATTTTTCCTTTCACTTTTCGTTCGTATGATGAGAGTGCAACTCTTTTTTCAATGTGCAGTCTCTATCCGCAATTAATGGTATAGTCTAGAAACCAATTTTCCTTTAAATTGACGTTGGTAATTTTATTTTTTGAATCTTTTTCTATTAAAAAAAATTCTTTTTTTAAAATAAAAATTTAATTTCTCATAACAATTTTTGGATTTCTAAAATTAGATTAGAAACAAAAAAATATTTTTTCAAAAGTCGTGTTGGGTAAAAAAAAATTTAGTGTCAGATTACGATAAACTGGCTGGAGACAATAGATTAAGGGCTACGAACCATAAAGACAACCTAAAGTATAAAGTTACCCCTTTTACTAAGGAGCCACTCAAGATCGCTTATACTATAAGGTGAAGACCACAAGGCATTCTTTTCAAAGTATAGAATAGAATTTCGTCTAAACGATAAAAAGTTTCGTCGACCGGATGTTTCAATCTTTTGACACCTTTATTCCATATACAATGTTATTACAGAGAATATATATATATATAGATACAATTTTCCCTCTCCCAGAAAAGAACAATCTCTTCTGTGTTTTTACACAAAAGATTTATTCTTTTAAAATAAAATTTAAATTACAGGTTCAATTTTTATGAAAAAGATTTCTTTTTATTGCAAAAAGAAAATATATAAGCAATTTTTTTTAATAACATAAAAATTTTGTGCCAAAAAAAAAGAAAAAGAAAAATCAGTGCTGCAAAAAAAATGTGAAAGAAAGATATGATTGCAAAGCTTCGTCTGGAAAGTTGATGTTCCAGAACGTGAATAGCGAAATTTTGTTTGAATACACCACTGCAGACGCTTGAGATAACATATTTCAATTTTAGAAGAGAAATTTCAAATTTGTTGGCGAATAGAATGACACTAGGAACAATAGTGAATTCAAGTAGCACAACAGGAACCGAAAACCACGTTATATGGTTAGACACTTCCGGGGAATGAATACGAACGCTAAAATATCTACCCTCATTTGTATAAATTCAAATTTTCTTCTCATAATTCATTTTAAAAAAAAGTAAACACAAAAGAAAAAAATTTTTTAAACTCCAAATTTAGAAATTTTATAACAATTTCTTTATATAGAATATAGTAAAAAAATTATTTAAAATTATATTTTACTCATAAATTAAAAAAAAAAAATAAACCCAAATAGTTCTAAACAGCATCCGTGTATGAACAAAAGAAAAAACTCTTGGAGAACACAAGGGAAAATTTTGCATTTTAATTTCAGAATTTACAAGGGGGGATTAATTCAACAGAGAGTATTATTATTCTAAAGCCGGTTTCATACGGTCAACCAGCGGAAGTAAGAAAAATAGGATGAATCCGGAATCTCCTCTGGGAAGCTTTTTTTTATATATATATATATAGAAGTCACAAAAAAAGAGAAAAGAATAAAATACCCTGAGAAAGAATCTCTCTTGGCGAATTAATACACGAACTTTTGAACATTCAACCTCGCGGCTAAACTGCTTCAGGAGTTATTGAATTTGAAAAAAGAAACTTTGTTGCCCTTGTGAAGGGAAAAAATGATATAAAAAGAAAAAAAAATCACCTCATATATAAGTTTTCGCGCATCTAATTGGAATAATTCGTATAAAAATTTCAGTGAATGAAAAATTCTTCTTTTATTGAGTTTTGCGAATAAAATTTTCTAAATTAAATATATTTTAATATAAATATTTAATAAAAATATAAATTCTATAAGGTTTTTTTTAATAGAGAAATTAAAGAAAATTTTGTTTTGATAAAAGTGCCAAAACAAAAGAGAAACAGAATTATGTTTTACAAAATTAACTCTCTGTCTCTCTCTTTCCGAGTGTCTCGTTACTTTTCTTATCAGACTTTTCTTTTTCATCCGCAGGCAAGTTCTTAATTTTCCCCAAGCAAATATTTTACCTTTACTATACCAAGACGTAGTATATATATTTTATTTACAATTGTTAGTATTTTAAAATTTCTTGAAAGGAAACATAATTTCTCTATCTATTTTACCATCTTTTACGTAAAAAATTTAAAAAACACAACATTATTCGGAAAGTTCCTTGTATATAAAAGAATTTAAAAAAAAAAATGATTGAGAAACTCGATAACAATCGTGAAAGAAGAAAAGATGATTAGTATCTCGATCGGCGCAAGTATGTCCATTAAGATGGTACGATTAAGGGGGGAACACCAGTTGTAACTTTCGAAAAATCGAATTTTTTTTTTGTGCATTTTCTTAAAGTATACATATTTAGAAATGTGTCTGTAAATTTCAAAGTTGATCCGGTGAAAAATAAATGAGATATACAGAACACTGCAGCGGCGCGTCCCGTGGCTTTATACAAGGTGGCCAGCCATACCTGACCCTAACGACACATGGCCTTTTCCTATGATTTAGAAACGGCAACCACTGCGGAAGAGTTATTATATGGTCCAGGAATCGATGACTCTTTGTAACTTGGAATCAAAATTTCTCCTGAACAAAAAAAAGTAAGTTGAAACTTTGAATGCGTTTTTCTCAAAATGACATTTTCCAAGTCGGTGACCACGATTACTCGAATACCATTAAACCGATTTATTTAAAATTTAGTGTGCTTCATTTACACATATAAGTCTAGTTCGTGATCGAAGGATTTTTTTTTTTATGCAAAACTTTTTTTTATATAGCTGAAAATCGACCGTATTTTTTTAACGAAAATCATACTTTTGACTTTGACAGGTCGCCAATTTGTCAAATTTTTTTTTTTTTTTAAATCCTTCGATCACGAACTAGATAATCTTATAATAAATGTAAATCAATTTCATTTTTGTATTTCAGACGAAGTATACTTGCAGAATGCTGGTCACCGCAATTCGCCTTTTTTCTTAAGGCGCCACTTCAATGGCTCATATCTCCAAAAGTTTTTGTTAAAAAAATTTTTTTTTTCTTTTAAATTACAGCTTTTTACATGTACTTTTAACTAATAAATAGTATTCTTTAAAAAGATTCATTGTTCTTTTGGAAAATATTCTTGTATAAAGCATTATTTTTTGAGTTACAACTGGTGTTCCCCCCTTAATCAAAGTGTCATCGTCAAAGGTGCGCAAGAGCTATAAAGTTCCGGCGGAACATAGGCGTTCACCGATAAATCACACGTCTAATCACGTGCACGGCATGTCCGGAAACGGTCGAGGACGTGAACTCGAGAATGTAATGCGTACAGGACAAGACTATATAGGAGCCAATGTCCATACGTTACATATATGTATACAGTACAAGTTGACCTGATATGTAATAAATTTTAAATTGGTTTCCTATTTCCATATCTTTCGATATATATTTTACTAAAAAAAAGAAAATTATTTTCATTCAATATCGAAACTATAATGACGATTTCTATTTTATTTGAGAAAGTTTCAAAAAAAAACTGCGGGGACCTTTTGAATAAATAAATAATAAAATAAATAAAAATAAATATGAAACTACATAGAAAATAGTATAAGGCTGTAATAAATACTATAAAAAGTACTATATACGAGACTATAAAAAAATACTACCTGTCTATAAAAAGTAATACGAGACTATAAATATATATAGTAAAGTAACAAAAACGTACAATGAATCTATAAGAAATACTACGAAACTAAAGCAAACTATAATGAGACTATAAATGGAAACTATAAGACAAAAGAACAACAAAATGAGACTATAAAAAAGTCATGGAACGAAAAGACAATTTATAAAGAATAATAAAAGTTGTTATAAACTATCGACAAACAATAGAATAACACCTAGAGAAAAAAAGCTTCATTTGAAATAAATTTCATTTTCATTTAGGGAAAATAAAATTTAAATATTTTCCAAATTTGACTTATTTGTAACAGAATATAAATAATTTAATTCTCTGGGATAAATAAATTTTTATTTAATTCAAAAATAATTCAAAAATAATTCAAAAATATTCAAAAAAATTTTTTAAAAATTCAAAAAGATTTTAAAAATAATTTAACAATATTTCAAAAATAATTTGATAATAATTTCTTTACGTCAAAGGAGATGAAAATATACAAAATGCATTAATAAATGATTGTCCTTTAAATAAAATATATTTAGTAGGAAATGACAATCCTGTGTAAAGACACGATACACTTATATATACCCTTGTCAAAAGAGAGAGAGGGGGGTGGCTACACTTTCGGCTCAAGAACAGCGTTGAAAGCCTGAAATAGATTAATCATTAAACACGACAGCTGAACTCACTCTAATACTCCCTTTTCCATTTTCAGAAAGGAATTACTGCGCTCTTCTTATCTATATACTTCTGCTGAAGTGAGCTGAATCAGCGTTCATCTCTCGTGCAAGCAAGAGTTATAAATCTAATCGATTTTCACAAGAGACTCCTCTAACCGCGTAGTTATTCTTACTCATATAGAAGAATAAGAAGAAGAAATAATACCTCAGCTATCACCATTCGATAAAGAAAAAAAAAATTATACCACCCATTAAATGTGAGAATCATTCATTCAACTGTATACCATATAGCTCATTTGAAAACATAAAAATCGTAAAAATCGTAAAAATCATAAAAGGCATAAAAAGCATAAAAATCATAAAACATAAAACTCATTTAAATAGAACTAAATCCATTATGCTGACAAATATAAAAATTTTCATTGTAGTAAAATTCACATTTGGAAAAATTTAAAGTTTTTTATCTATTACATGCAAAAAAATCTTTATTTAGAACAGTGATGTTTCACTAAAACAGCGAAAGTTTTTACTATCCTACAGAAATATATCGCTAATCCAGAAAAAATTATCGCTGTTCCAAGCGAAGATTTTTTTGTGCGTGTAGGAGGGAAAAATCTTTTTTTTGAATTTTCGTTATGTAAATTATTGTAGTAGAGTTGGTTAGATGGCATAGTTATCGGACTGCGAGTGTTAGGGTCGAGGGTTCAATCCCCGGTGTTTGGGAATTTTTCTTTATTCGTCTAAATATTATACAACTAAAAAGAAGTGGAAAATTGAACCTTAGTATTAAATAACAATAATTTTCAATAATAATAATAATTAACAGAGCCTATTAAATCTATTGAAGCCTAAAGCCTATTGAATCACTTAAAGTAGTGAAATCTAGGGAATTACGTAACAAAATCTAGTGAATTAAGCAGAGTACACCAAAACTAGTTCTAAGAATTTTTGTTTAGTATCAAAACCACTATAAAAGAATATACACAAAAGGAAAACTATTCTCCTTGGTACAAAGCACAATGACGAGACAGAAGATCTCGCATATTGTATGAGCAATGAGAGTTCCATTAAACAGAGAAGCTAACATAGTGAGAGATACTGTACAGGAGATATGGTGTCAGAACTTGAAACTTAAAGTCATTTGGACTAAGTTTGCAACTGTTTCCTACACTTTAGACGCATGTTTAGATTTAGAGAGCAGCTGAGAGAGGGATAGTGGAGTTGTTCCATGGGGAAATCCTGAGAGGTTTGCGCAGTTTACACACTCACGCATATATATATATAGTACGCAAATATGCTAAATTTTCTCTCTCTCTCTACCAAGACCAAATTTGTCCACCAATAACGGCAGAACCGAGAGAAAACCGCAAATCAAAGTTTTACCCTTAAACCTCAATCTTCTATCTGATCCCCGAAAAAAGTTTTGCGGCTTTACTCGCTGCTACCCCAAAAAGGGGTCTCAAATCTAAACATTGCGGAGGAGCTAACGTTTCATCCGTTCAATCCAAGTTTATGTAAATTTTACTTTGAAAATATTAATAAAACAATTTTTAATAAAATAATTCAATACGGAAAAAAAATTCACCTGAACAGCGACACAGAAAATTAAAAGACATTAAAATAAGCTGCAACGCTTATTATTTTAATCCATTTTGATATTAAAATAAGCAAAATTGGATTAAAATAATAAGCGTTGCAGCTTATTTTAATATCTTATAATTTTCTGTGGATATATTTCACTAAAAAAACTAAAATTTTCGCTATTCTAGAAAAACATATAGCTGTTCCAGATAAAGATTTTTTTTCCGTGAATAAGAATAATAAAATAATTTAAAAAAAAACTAATTAAATAATTCAATAATAATACAATAATACAATAATAGTAAAATAATACAGTAATAATAATAATAATAACAATAATAAAAAATAATAATAGTAATAATAAAATAATACTTGATGTAAATTCAGAAACCAGTTTGCGAACAGTAGACGATTCACTCCTCGCGCTCTTTATTCTCTGAATTTTTTTTTTTTTTTTTTTTTTTGAACTGTTTTTTCATTTTTTTTTTCTCGTTTTCTTTTTAAAGAAACGAAATAAAGTTGGTCATTGGTAATTTGCATTCAACGGAGTTGTTTATACACGTGAAAAACAAGCCACGAAACCAAATCGAGAAACGCTCTACTACAGTAGTATTCTAGATTTGCACTTCGAATGCAGGCTGTACACGCTTTTGCCATTTGCAAACACAAACTCGAAACAGTTACTTCTGCAAACGACAAGCTTGTTGTACTCACTGTTCGAAGGAGGGCGTGTATACACCAATGCATTTTCACACAAATTAAAACTTCGGCTATACACCCGCGCGTGCACCATGAGAGAGATAGAGAGAGAGAATATTTTTTCTCAAATGAATAACTCTATACAGGAGATTACATGGGCAAAAGAATAAAACAAAAAAATGATTTACATGAAACAACTTTTTGGTAAATATTTTTTAAAACTAGATTCGAATAATTTAAAAAGAAAATTATTGAAACTTTTTATTTTTACTACTCCTAAAGATATATTTGTCTCTCGAGCGATATAAATTTTTATTTGTTGCAAATAAATTTTATGTATGATTTAAATAAAAATTTTATTTATGACAAATAAAATTTTTACTTTTATTATTTATTTATTTTAATTTAAAATTTTATTTATGACAAATAAAATTTTTATTTATGCCAAATAAAAATTTTATTAGACTCTGAGAAAAATATACGTTTATTTAATAGAAATATATTATATTTGTTTCAATTAAATCATTTCTCTGCGTAGAAATTAGCGTAAAATTAAGGGGTTGGAAATTCTAGGTAGAAATTTATTTTTTTGCCCGATATGTTCTCCTCTAATAATAAATTCAAACAATTTTTTTCCCAGCGTATAATAAAAAAAAAAAAAACAATATAACAGTCAAGAAACATTGCAATGGCAACTAAACGAATTATCCAATTTAAAAAAATACGCAGTAAAAATTGTAATTTCCACGGCAAGATTTATATTTTTCTTTTATTACCCGTAAACTGCATTTTAAAAATAAAAAAAAAAGAAAACGAAAATGCAACCACTTTACAATCGCGAAACAGGGCCATCGATCATATGGCTGCAGGCAGAGTTGAAATTACTTCGAACATGAGATAAACTACGATACAGATATTTTTTACACTCCTCATGTATTAAAATATATATATACGTTCATATAATACGTTTAATCGCGTGACTCGCAAATTCGTCCGAGCGAAAAATTGAGCTTTCAAAACAATTTTAATACATAATATATCCCATTTATGTCAGATGATATTAAATATTTTTTTTTGTCGCACTTTGATGAAAAAGAAAATTTAAAAGTAACACAAATTTTTAAACGAACTATTCGAATTTTATTTTTAATTTAGCCATACAAGAATGAATTTGCGAGAAAAAAATTGAGAACGATGAGATAAAAAGAAGTATGGAAAAAAAAATAAAATATAATTAAAAATTATGTCTCTGAGAGTGCCAAAAACGAAAATTCACATTCAGCAGATATATAAATACATCGAGGAATGACAGGTGTTTCGCAGTGATTCTCCGCGAATTCTCCTTTTACCCCTTTCACACACACTAATACAAAAATCAGCATTGATCCTCGGAACTTTCATATCCGTTTTTTTCAATCCAAAAAATTATTTTTTTCTTAAAATAATAATGAATTAAAATAAATTTTTAGAATGCCTCGGAAATTTTTTAATCAGGGAAAATAAAAAGAAAGAATAAATTTAACTTTCTAAAATAAATTTTTACACAAAAAACTCGGAAAGAAAATATTGCGCGAAAAAAACGCAAACATTTCACATCTTTTGGAAAATTTACTATCCATTGTAAAACACTTCACAAAGCGCGTGTTTCAGCAAACGTTGAACGTAACGTTTTAACAAAAGATGAGGTTTGTGAGAGGAAATCTCCTCTTAATTACTCATCATCAAATTAGAGGTATTGTGCAAATGAAAAGGGGTTTTGTAAGTGGGTTTCAAGTGGGCAGAGCAGTTGGAAAATTGGCAGAAAATATACGAATATGAAGAGAATCTTTCAACAAAGTGAGCACGTAATACGGTTGGATTCATGTACACATCCAATATTTACACACACACACACAAATACTACTAAAATGGACCAAAAAAATTCGAAAACAGGTTCCTTTGCAGGCTGCTTCTTTGTATGGTACGATTTAAATATTTCGAGTGTAAGCGATAAAGTACAATGTCCTTATAAAACAGGATGGTTCAATCTTATTTCTCTCTAATCTATATATCCTGCAATGATAACGAGATGCTGCGCGAATATTTCCTTCTTTGAAACCCATCTTTATTTTCTAAAAATTATTTTTTTTGTCTCAAAAAATAAAAATTTTGAAACTAAAAAAAAAATAAGCAATAATTATGCAAATTAAATATTGTTCGATAATTTTCAAAATGGTATCTAGAATTAAATAATGACAACCAAAAAAAATTCTTTCACACCTGGTAACATATTATGTATTATATTATAATTATATACAATAGAAAAAATTACACAACAAAGTATAGTCGAATTTGAGAAGAAGAAAAAAAACTATTGAGAGAAAAATATACTTTCGGAAGATAATGGGAGAATTTTTTTTTTTGAGAAATTATTATGCGACATCATGCACGCGATCGACGATACGAAATCCGTGAGGCGAAGTGCATATATAGAGAAAGAAAAAGAACGATATATATATATATATATATATAAAGAGAAGTGGAAGAAGGATTGGCATACCTGAAGAGCAGGTGTTCTTTGAATCTTAACCACTCTCAGTTCTTTCTCGATCTCGCCTTTCCATACTCGTATATTCTTTAAACGAGACACGTTTTTCTTTAACCAGAACTTGGTAACATGTCTTCAGTACACGAAAAATATCAAAAATTCATCTCTATTCACGACATCTGCATTTGTGAAAATTTTACAACTTGATACCAAAAAAAAAAAGAAAATTTTCTGTCATTTATAAAATATATAAAAAATAAATCTTTCTTTAAACAAATTTTTACTAGAGAATTAATTTTATAATAAAAAAAAATCAAAATAATAATAAAAATAAACTAAAAAAAAAAAATAATAATAATAATAATAATAATAAACTAAAAACATAATTCAATAATACACTCAGAAAAAAATTCGTTTGAAGCAACCAAATTTTGGTTAAATCAACAAAATTTATTAAAATAAACCAAAGAGTTATTTAGATCAAATAAACATTTATTTGAAGTAAACAAATTTTGTTTGAACTAACCAAAAAATTGGGTAAATATAAAAAAATGGTACATTTGGTTCAAACATATCTTTTTTCTGAGTGTAAAAAAATAAATAATACAGTACACTGAGAAAAAAAATTCAGTGTTTGCAACAAAATTGTTTGGTTAGGCAATTTTGGTTCTTGTAACCAAATTTTGGTAGGCTGAAACAAAGTCGTAGAGTTAT